GTGGCTACATTTTGGGAGTATCTGTCCTGAATCAGTGAATGGGTAGTTTTGTGGAAGGATCTCATGGCATGCAAAATCAAAATTGAAAACTTCCTTAACATTTGAATTAGAAGCAGGTTTCACAAAGGAAGCAATGAAAGAAGGCAAAACAGAGAAAGGAAGTTAAAGCAGAGAAGCCAGCCCAACAGTGATCACAGCAACAACAAGGAGGGCTAAAAACAAGCATGTGTCAACATAGAAAATGCGTTTGGTAACATAATTTCAACAGCTGCAATGTGGATTATGTAGCATTAGCTGTTTGGCAAGAAACGCTAGATGTAATATGAAATGGCATGAAGTTAATTGTCATCAGCAGAGAGTAGTTCATTTCACATGGTATGGTTAAACCTAGAGGTATTCTGCCAAGTTGGTGGGGGTACTTGCTTTGCTTCTTCTAAAAGCTGAAGATTTGTGCATTGTTGACTTCATGTTCTGCATGATTTCCTCCTGGCCACTTGGATGCAAGTGAATAGCTGATCTATTGGGATGTGGCAAAGACACAGGTGTTTAAGTTACTGGCAGTAGCATTTTTGTGTACCAAAGGCAGTAGAAGCTGAGATATCTGAATAGCTCCAGATTGGATCACTGGGAATACCAGACAAATCTCTGGGAATACCATGATGTCTGAAGCCATGCTAGTTCTGCTCAGTGAAATAAACACAACAATTTACTAGTCATTACTTGCATGCACATACGCACAAACACACACACATGTACATACTTAGCCACTTGGTAAGCCATTTGCTCACCAACACAAATATTTACCAGTAGTTACTTGCAGCAGTATATATTTAGCCACCTGGTGAGTCAGTCGTCTATATTTCACTGTCAAGTCAAGTAGCAAGAAGAATTTGTCACCTTTTTGCACCTGAGCAGAAATCAAAGGAAGTAATAGATAATCAATATGTCAGGTGGTTACGTGTGCACAGTTTCTACTTGAAAAATGTTCATGTGTAGTTACTAGTTATGTGCAAAATGAAGGCAAGAACATCAGAACTTAATATCTGTTTAATGAGTCCATCCTATAGCTGGCTCTCAAAGGAAAAAGAATTATTTGTTCATCCTTGACTGGCTTGGAGGTTAGCTGGATGTACAGATGAATCCCCATTTCAAGCCAAAGGAGTCTGTGCATGGCTCAGATTTGGCTTAGATTTGGCCTTTTGAACTGCCAGAGTTTATACTTCACACTTTCCCAATTTGCACGTTTACTCCCATTCCTAGTATTTTCCACAGAATTGGAATCAACTGGCACATGTTCTAATAAAAACATTAAAATCACATCTGCCCCAGTCTTCATCATCCATCTTACTCCTGGCGGTGATAGCCCCCTTTACCAATCCCACTTACATTTATATTTTGTCAAGCTCTAAGAAAGTCAATCTTCTCTCCGTCCCCAATATTCACAGAGGTACAGAGAAGGGTCTTTTTCTCTCTGCTTTGCTGATTCTTCATCCTCTGATCCCAGATGGCTTCTGCTAAGTCATTTTTCATCCCATGACCATAGTTCATCATCGTTGCTAGAATCCTTTCCTGTTTTTTTTCCCTTTTCTTTTCAGGCCTTCTGTCCTTGCTTTCACCCCAGTGTCACTTCTGTGTCTGTTCCTGCATTAAGAGCTTTCCCTACTAAGAACTGTAATAAGTTTTTGTTTTTGTAGGGTTGTATGCCTTCGAGTCATTTCTGACTTAGCCTTCCTCTGAAGCTGAGAGCATGTGACTTTCCCAAGGTTATCCAGTGTATTTTCATGGCTGAGCCATAACTAGTACCCAAAGTCCTAGTCCAACATTCAAGCCACTATACCATGCTGGCTCTTCTGTGATGTGTGGTTACTTATTTTCATCAAGTAGTCAGGCTTATTCTGCACTAACTAGGTTAAATAATAATAATTATGCGACCAACAGTGTATTCCTGAGTGCTACAAAGCTTCAAACCGTATGGGATTCTCCTTAAGGCATGGGTAGTGTTTGTAGCTAAAATAACATAAGATAAAGTGAAGTGATTTTCTTTCCCCTCTCCTCCCTCTCCAGCTGGAGAAGGAAGTGCTGACAGTTTATCCCAAGGTTTCAACAGTCTGAATTGCCATCTGTAATTATATACACCCTGGATATGATTCTATTTATTGCTCACATTTTGTCCTAGATTGATTTGATACTGTATTTCATTTGAGTCAGCTGTTCCCTCTGCAAAAAACAAAACAAAACAAAACCTTATCTTGAAAAGTCATCATTTTGTAATTCCTACTGAGATTGTTAGGTGTATTTCACACAGTTAGAAAGCAAATTTTAATGAAGGATATTTCTATAGGAGGATATTTAATCTTAATTTAAAACTTCCCTGTTTCCCAGAGCTTTTGGAATTACAGTTCAATGTTTTATAATTTTGTACATTGATTATAGGTATTTGTCAGTTTGCTTTGTGATTGATTACATTGGTTTGTGCATTTCTATCTGCATAATTTGGTTGACAGTTATATTGCATTAACTATATATTTGCATTGCTCTTTCCTTCTTGTATTTTTGTCTATATGTCTGTCTGTCTGTCTCTCTCTCTGCATATGTATATTCGATTGTATACCTTTGACAGTACTGTCTGTCTTTTTGTTGTTTTACTTGTATCATCATGTACTTTTACTTGTAGCATCATGTACTTTGAACTACCTCAGACTAGCTCCCATAATCCCTTAACATCAGCTAGGACATTTTTCTATCTCTGCTATCTGGATATCTCAGGTATCATGACTTAGCTGCTCTGTGCCCTTTTAAGGATAATAGGCTGTTTTCTCAGCCCTGGCTATGGAATTGCCAGAGTTGTAGACCAAAAAGAGTATCTTTTCCACATGTTAACACCAGCATGCTGATGACACACACTTCTTTCTATCCTTTCCTTCCATTTCCATGGAAATTGTTTTCACTAGTAAACCAGTATCTGCTATCGGTAAATTAAGCACATCGGTAGATTAAACAAATTGAAGCTTAATCCAGACAAGATGGAAGTGCTGTTTGTCAGTTGAAAGGGAAAGGGAATAGAGATTCAGCCTTTACTGGATGGGGCTACATTCCCCCTGAAATCTCATGGGATTTAGCCTTGAGCATATAAGCTTATGTTTCAGTGTTGAGAAGAGGCACATTTGGACAGCTAAACCTGGTGCCTAAATCTGTGCCTATTCATCAGGATGTCAGATTGGATCCCTGTAACACATTGCCTTGATTACATTCTGTTTTGATTACTGTAATGCACTCCATGTGGAGCTGCCTCTACAACTGTTCAGAAACTTCAGAGGATCCAAAATTCTGCAACCATGCTGCTGACTGAAGGTGGTTTTAGGGAACATATAACTCCCTTCCAGAAACAGCTGCTCTGACTACTGGTCTGTGTCTGGGGACAATTCAGACTGTTACTATGACTTATAATGCTCTTGGATCTAATCTGTCTGAAAGACTATCTCCCTATATGAGCCTGCTCAAGTTCTGAGATCTTTGAGCAAGGGCTTTCTCAGTCCCATCACACATACGCTTGATGAGTACATGAGGGAGAGACTTTTCAGGAGCTGCCCCATATCAGGGTGACCAAATGTTTTTCTTTTCCAGGATATGTCCTACATCTGTCCAGGAGAAATATCAAAATGTCCTCCATTTTGAGCATGACTAAGAAGCATGATTTTACATTTATATTAGTGTTTTTAGCTTTTATTTTGTAGTGGCCTACATTTTTCTTGGAGGTCCTACATTTTGCCGTACCTTGCTCTCCTTTGAGGTTAGGACGTCTGGTCACCCTGCCCCAGACTATGGAATTCCTTCCTACAGAAGGCTCACATGGCTTCTTCTCTGTTCTTTTCCCACTGGCAGAAAGAGCTTTTTATTTGGACAGGTCTTTGGTTATTAATTGGTTGTGCTAAAAAATATTAAATTAATTTTGTTGGGCTTTTATTTTTATTGTGTTTTAAAGTTAACTTTTAATAAGATTATCTATTAAATGGCTTTTAAAAACTTTTGTATTATATATTGCCCTAGAGATTATCACACATGGCTTTTAAACCACAATTAAAGTAGTAAAACAACAATATTTATTGTGTGATGTTCCCTCCAACCCATAGCTGCTCTGTCTTTCCAAGTGTGGTTAGGCCATCCCTTTTAATTGACAGGGGAAACCCATAAATAAACTCCCAATTGTACTGTTGTGGCATTAATCCTCAAGCGCAGTAAGCTCTTCCCATGGCAATCCCCGCATTGAGCAGTCATGTTGTGTCAGTCTTATCCTCTCACCCTGTCCCCCTTCCCCTCTCTATGCTCATGCCATCTATTTTAATTTTCCCCCTTTCATTGTCTTTTCATTCATCTTTGTTTTACTAAATTACATTGCCATAATTGATAAATTGCATTATAAATCAAAATAAAATTAAAGGCATGTTGGATACTGCATAGGGAATGGGGTTAAGCAGGAGCGCAAAAGAGAATGGAAGGGACTGTCAGTGCCAGAAGCAGCCCCTTTCGCTCTTTTGGAGGGACGCGTGATAAGGAAAACTCTCAAACCAGTTTGAATAAGTTTACTTTTACTAATGCAATGGCAGCAAAAATGGGGTTCATGTGTAATGTCCCAAGTTGTATTTTGTCTTAAAGTGTAAGCCACTTGAAGTTCCATATGGGAAGAGAGGTGGGATTTAAATAAATTAAATACACAAATAATAAATAAGCACTATCTGAAGGCCTGAGACTTCAGAGCACAACATGTTTGCGTGATGTCCCATTTCCATTCTTCCATTTTACCTCCCCTTGAGGGGCAATTTCAGAAACCCATGTCTACATTTGAGCAGTGTAAATTTTTATTGTGTGCTTTCAAGTTGTTTCCAACTTATGCCAACACTAAGGTAACCTATCATGGGGTTTTCTTGGCATGATTTGTTTAGAGGGGATTTGCCATGGATTTTCTCTGATGCTGAGAGAGTCTGACTTGCCCAAAGTTTCCATACCTGAGGGTGGATTCAAACCCCGGTCTCCAGAGTTGTAGTTCAACGTTCAAACCACTATACCACACTGGCTTTCAGTTCCAAGATTAAATGGCTCTAAGTGTTCAAATCTTTTTGGGTGTTGATGTACCTATTGGTGTTTTTAATGTTGTAAGCCGCCCTGGGATAGAAATAAATATTATTATTATTATTATTATTATTATTTATTATTATTATTATTATTATTTTATTGAGCTATTTGGAAATACTATTCAATAAGGGTATCTTGATTGGTTAACTTGTCTTTGAAAGTTAGTGTCTTTGAAAGTTAGTGTTTTGTCTCTTCACATTTTCATGCCTCCTGCTCCTTGAGAGTAGACAGCCCAAGAAGAAGAAAATGCTTACTGAGGAGGAAGAATAAATGCATTAATTTATTAAGGAAGGGAATTTTATTTTCAGGCAAATGAAATTGCTTTTTTTTAAAATGACAACAAAACCTGGAAGCTAGTCTGTTCCCATTTTAAAGGGGAAATGGCCTGTCCTGAAACACTGCTATTTTTAGTACAGGATACAAAAGCAAACATTAAGTATGTTTTACATGTTTGTATTTTTGATGTTTATCCTCCAAGGATTATTGTGAACATTTCAGCTAAAAAGAGGTTTCCATTATATCTGACTAAGAATGGAAATAAAGCTCCAGAGAACTAAATGTGGATCTATTTAGCTGCCTTTTACTAGACCCCACTTGATTAAAAAAAAAGCTCTTACTCCTTTGGAAAAAATACACTCGCTCCTTCCTCCCCATATTGCACTTTTAACAAATTCATAACAAATCTGCTATCTTCTCCTCTCAGTCTTTCCTATTAACCTTAATATTATCACTCCTGAGGCTTTTCTAAGATCCCAGTAAGCTTGTGCTTGAAACTATGTCCACCAAAGATGCAACAGACCTCCAATAATCTGCTTCATATGAAAGGTTTTAAAGACTAAACCCTGCAGTTTGGATTTACAAACAGATTGGGAAGGGAGTGCAACACACAGCACCAGAATGAAGGTTTATAATAACCAGACTCCATTAGTAGTCTAGTTGCTACATTTTGAATATATTTACATCTTCTGAATATTCAAAGGCTGTCCCATGTAGAAATAATAGGGAGGCTACCTGTGCATGAAAGTAGGTGCCTTTGTTAAAGTAGGGCAAAGATGCCCAAAGATGGCCCCTCCTCTTAGGGTCCATTAAGCCCTCTACTAGTTCCCCAAACCCTCTTTTAAAAAAGAAGAAGCAGTGTGCAAAAAATGTACTCAAAGCCCCCTAATGCTTGCAAATGTACAAAACAAAACATTCCCAGTCCCCCCTCAAGTACCTTCTTTTCTCTCCATTTCTCCTTCAAAATGGCTACAGGAAGTGATGCGACATCATTTCCAAACATCATTTTGAAGGAGAAATGGAAGAAAAACAAACTATGTAGGCACTCTCAGATGAGGATGTGGCATATGGGGGAGTGTGGAAAATTGGCTCTGCCCCTGTGTAGCTGCCATCCTGATATAGGGCAATAAGGTCAAGTTGACAAAATGTCGCCCATCCCATGAAGATAGCTTGCACCTCCAGTGCTAAGGATGGATAATGGGGCAACCCCAGCTGCAAAGCTGTTCACTCTGGGGAGTACTACTCTGTCCAGCAGGAATGAGCAGGTGATGTTTTGATCTATAACTTCTATTAACTCAGTCCAACATAGCTGATGTTAAGGGATTATGGGAGTTAGTCCGAGGTAGTTCAAAACATATGGAGATCCAAAGGTTTCCTTTAGTATGGGATGGGCACTGTTTCCTTGGTCAGACATTCACAGTGGGTTTGTTTCATACCATGACTTATCAAACCAAACTATTGTAACACTGGTGTTTAAAGGTATGAAAAACAATAGAATGCCATTATTTTTTCACGACTGTTCGAGAGGTTACTGTTAACAGAAGTGGGAGTAGGATTAAAACTATACATATTTTTTAAAAATATGGGAGGGATTTTTTTTTTTTATTTCGTGTGTGTGCTTCTTTTTTTCCTCTTAAGGAAAGTAGGTTTGCCAAAAATGATGCAAAAAAATCAAATTGCCTCCATGTGGGAGTAATATACTAATTGGCAGAGAGAAATATAGCAGGATTAGACAAGTTGGGTTCAACATTCTTGACTTTGGTGGAGCTGATTTTCATAGGATTGGGGAACTTTGATATTGCAGGGAGGCAGACAGAATCCTGGAGGCAAAATGGAATTGGAAGAGAATTGACACATTTCTGCATCAACTATGTAAAAACCTTCACTGTTTTAGCAAAGTAGTTGTCCAGTGAGCCTCATTGTAATTAGAGCTAGGGCTAAAATAATGAATAAAGAACAAAATTAGGATGTTGTAATAAAAAATCTTTTAAGTGCACATGTGTTACACTCAGCACTTGGGCTACTTTCTATATATTGTAGTTTAGTGTTGTTTTTTTTAAAAGAAATGTAAAAGTAGTAAGCAAAACAGATACTCATTAGTTTGGCAAGGAATGAATTTATTCTAAACAAGTAGGTATAGCCCCAGGTCACCATCTCTTATAGGTTTGATTTTGTTGTATATGATTTTATCTATGATATCTGAATTCCAGTTTGTACTACATACAGCTCCATACCAGTTCACCTTGAGGGTTGATACCAAGTACTTTTGAACATCTTTATTAGTCAGCAAATTTTCTCTGTTATAGAAAATAGACACTGTATATGCCTTCATGTTGTTTTCATCAGAACATGGAAGTAACACACTGTTTGTAACAAGTTACTTCAATAATCCATTGCTTTTAGCAGTGACAAGCTAGTACAGGGTCACTTTCTTTTCCCTGTAACAGCCAAGACTATAATTTACTGTATATACTCATGTATAAGTCTAGAAATTTAGATTACAAAATGGAGCCAAAAAAACCTGAGTAGATTTATCCATGGATCAATGTAAGTACTGTACTTTAACTCTTATTTTTTAAAAAGGAACCATCCCCCTGGTGAAAGGTAAGAGTGTAATCTGTCTTGGAAACACTGACCCCGCTCTGCTGTCTTGTCCATCAAACCTTTAGTATGAGCACAGTTATACCTGCTGGAATTTTGTTCTTTGGCATTGTTTTCCTTTGCTTCGTTCTTTACCTCCTTTATTACATACCCCCAAGTTTTACCCTCGACTTATTCACAGGTCATATCAAAACCCATCATTTTGGCCTAAAATCTGCCTTGGCTTATACATGAGGTCGACTTATAGTCGAGTATATACAGTACTACTTTTCAAAGTAATATAATGGGGGTTTCTGGCTAATATTCTTTACTGGGTGTGTTATGAACAATGGGAGGGAGAGGAGGAAAGATCAGATAGCTGTCTATCATTCTTTGTGGGTGTTGTGCAATTACTGAGCAGCAGAAAAGCCAGCAACTAGAGAGGGGGAGAGAGAGGAAGAGAAGGCACATTAAAAACTGCACAAGAGTCTAAAATTGATGTTGCTAAAAAAATTTTTAACAAGTCATTCCATTTTTTCTACCTCTCTGTTATATCAAAATGAAAGATGCTGGTTCTGCTGCAAAAAAGTGCATGACGTGGGAGGAGAAGAACTGCGTTACCAGGCTGGCTGCTGCAAACAGTGGCACAGGATGCTCACTTGGACTGTTTGGGTTGTTGTGAGCTGTGGCACATTTGTTATTTTTGTAGACAATATATTCAAAAACTGTACAGCAATTGTTATTCAGAGTGCTAGAATATTCTCTGGCAATGCTCCTGCACATTCTGTGAATGAAGGGCAGAGAGGGACACACCTGCTGGGCTCTAAATGGAGCCAGTACTGTACTTACTTTCCTCAAAGGCATGTTGATATCAGAGGTGTGGCCAAGAGACTTGACCCTGTTTCTCCTCCATGTATTCCCTGAAGGTACATTCTGGTTATCATTGTAAGCTATACCAAGGTTAGGAAGCCCATAACCCTTCAGTTATCGGTAAACTACTGATCCCAGCATCTCTCGTTATTGACCAGATTGACTGCGGTTGCGGGGAATTAAAGTCCCAACAATGTTTGGATGGTCACCAGCCCTGGGCTACACTGACAAATATGTAGGTTTATTTATTTATTTTTGTCAAAGGTTGCTAGTTCAAGTTGGCAGTCTCAAATGAAGCAAGTGTGCTGTAATTTTTGCAGCTGTGCAGCCGTGTTTCTTCTGCAGGAAACAGAAACTAATTGGCAAGAATCAGGATTCTATAGTGTACAGTTTTGTTTGCACAAAGTTGGATGCAGGGGAATTTAAAGGCTTCTGTCAAACCTTCAGGTGCTACCATAGAAAAAAATGAACCACTTGTACCAGGCATTAATTATTAGATGAGATATTTCAGTTACGGTATTGCAGGGGACACTATGCTGGGAACTGGGGGAAAAACATGAAAGCTAATGGCTTTATTCATCCATTCTGAAGTGGAGTCAAGTTAGGCATGTCACTGCTTTATAGCACAATCTTAAAAATGTCTACTTAGAAGTAAGACTAGTTAAGTTCAGTGGGTTTATTCCCAGGCAATTGTTACAGTCTTGGCTTTAGATGCTTCTTTTTTAAACAACAATAACAGCAGTATTACATTCCTTGTCCTTTGTGGCTTTTGTTAAATTTGGATGGAGAGAGACTTGCTTACCATTATATTGCTGAATCTCTGACAATATGAGATACAGTATTTCTCAAATATCCAAACAACTGAACCTAATGAACTAAATAAATAAATAAATAATAACATTTTATTTATACCCTGCCCCTCTGAGCACAATCGTTAGAAATACATAGAATACAGATCCAAAGACCAATACCCTTTAAAAGAGTTTTAAACTAACACTAATTAAAACATCTTATGACTATGACAATTCTTTTTTTTTTTTTAATGTATGTTGTAACTTTTTACCTTAGATTTGTTTTTGTGCATACACTTTAATCCAAGAAAGATGCAACAACTATGTGGTACAAAAGTAGAGCTAGGACTGCTATATGGAAATATGGTTTTGTGGATCACAGTGTAGAGTGATGAAATAATTAGGGAGGAAATGGGGAACTTTAG